TCCCCCCCTCCCTCACCTCCTGGTGCCCTAGGACAACATCATCCTCAGAAAGACAGGTGTTCAAGTTTGGCATGGAGACAGAAAACAATTCCCTTTTTTTCTCTGTGTTTGGAAAATAATGGATTCTTGACACAAATATTAAAATTGAAACTGTAATGCATGTCTTGATTTATGGGATTTTGAATTGACAATAAAATAACACGTAACTTATATGGATAGTCAAGATCATGAGGTGAAGAAGTAAATCATTTTGTTTTCTCCGTGAAAAAAAAAGATGTTGAGAGAATTAATTTTGTCCAGGGGAAGAAAAGACCTTTTGATCATTTTTAAAATGTTTTTATTTATTTCAGAGAGAGGAAGGGAGAGGGAGAGAAATAGATACATCAGTGATGAGAATCATTGATTGGCTGCCTCCTACATGTCACCTACTGGAGATTGAGCCCACAACCTGGGCGTGTGCCCTTACTGGGAATCAAACCACGACCTCCAGGTTCATGGATCAATACTCAACCACTGAGCTAGGCTTTGATCATTTTTAGTAAGCATTTTTACTTAGCCATCATTCAATAATCATTTACTGCATGTATGTTCTTGGGCAGGTTACTTAACCTTAAATGCCTCATCAATGAAAAGGGGATTTACACACACCCTGGGGTTAATGAGCAGACTCAGTAAGTGCATCTTTCTGAAGCCCTTAACAGAGAGCCTAGCATCTTAAATGCTGCTTTTTATTGGCTCTCTCATACTTTGCCATCTAGCAGCAGAGACACAAATTATGAGACAATGTGATAAGTACTGTAACAGAGATACGTTAGATAAATGTTAAAGAAACACAGACAAGCAATTAAGTGTGAAGATGGGGGAAGGAAGGTGAGATTGAATTTAGTATTGAAGGAAACTTTAATTTTATCTGTTTAACAAGGTTAGGAAAACCATTTCAGATAGAGAAAATAAAAAGAGATTTGAAAGCTCAGGGTGTGTTCAACATAGAGATCACTAATCAGAGACATTTAATGTGGTGTGGCTGCAACTTTGGTACCTGGAAGGGGGGGACCAACGTGGCAAAGAGGTTAAAAACATAAGACTTGGAAGTTTAAGTACTTCTTCTGTTTGTTACTAGCTTTATAATCTTAACCAAGTTAATTCAACTCTTTGAATCTCAATTTGCTTATCTGTAAAATGGGGGAGTAGGTAGTAGCAAACACTACTTTTAAAGATTTGTTTTGATGAGATGATAATAACTATTATTAATTAAGTACTTACTATATATCAAAGACCTATTCTAAATATTTTTCATTTATTATCTCATTTGATTATCACCATAAGTAGATGCTATTAAGTAGAAATCGAAGCACAGAGAAATTAAGTAACTTGCACAAGTTAGTTATAAGCAAATCATGGATATAAAGCACTTAGCAGGATACCCAGCCCAGAGTGAACATTCAGTAAATGTTGGCTGTTGTTGTGGTTGCTGCTGTTGTTGATTTTAACAAAATAACTGAAGAATATTAGAGATTAATGGGAGCTGAAGTGACTGAGCAGAAACAGAGCTCCAGCTTTCAGACTTCAACTCCAACTTTCTGTTCTCCCTCTTTTATCACTGAGAAACTAAAGGAAGCAAAGAGTAGTTGGTTGCCTAATACCCCTCTCTGCTTCCACATAGGATCATATTACCAGAGAATCAGAACCCATCTATTCTTTCAAATGACTTCTTGGAAGAACATTGCTCAATATATCACTCAAATTTTAAAAGTGGGCTACACATTTTATACCAGGTGCAGAGTTTTACCTATATCTGGCTCATATTCTTCAGTTCTAAATCAGTTTTGTCATAGTCTATATAAAATGGAGATTTTAAGTGGATGATTAACTATACTCTGAGTACAGTCTTTTCATGGAGTCTGCTGTCAAGTCTCCCTTTAAAGGCCCACCTTCCAGGATCACCATTTCCAGCCATATCCCAATTATTTATACTTATTTCCCTACTCTGAAATCTCTCCAGAGCCTTCTGTAACTCTAGCATTCATAATGCTATATAGTAAGGGGATGGTTAATGGAGAATATAATAGCAGAATTACCTCATGAGTCCTCTTTGCTTAGTATTCATCCATAAATCTGGTCTTCACACTTTTCTAATCATAGTCAATTGTTTACCCACATGGCCATCCTTCACTGCATTTTTTAAAGCTGTTATTTTGCCCATGTGAACCCCCATACATTCTTTCCAACTGAGCTCTTTCTATTTGAGCTCTTAATTTATCAGTAATTTGTACCAAGGA